GTGTTTTTTTTGCACCCCCGGGATATATTCCCAGAAGTGGTAGTGCAGGTTCATATGAAAGCTCAATTTCTAGTTTTTGAAGGAATGCCCATATTGTTTTCCAGAAAGGTTGGACCAGTTGGCATTCCCACCAATGAATGAGAGTCCCTTTCTCCCCACATCCGAGCCAGCACTGTTTTTTCTTGTTCTTTTTGATGTGTGTTGTGGCTGGAGTTTGATTTGTACCCATTGCCCTATCTGAAGTGTCTGTGGTGGAAAGACCAGCAATCCTTCAAATCAGTTAAGAAGCCTCTCTGGCCTTTTACTTCTCATTTTCCAAGGAAGCTCCTAAGGATGAGCTGACTCCAAGACTCCTCCGATTTGTGGATCCACAGCGTTGAAGTTGCTCCTCTCCTGCCTGGTAGCTTCCTTGGACTTTCCTTGACAAAGGAACGGCAAGACACCTCCAAGTGTTTTTCTGGCAGGATCTCCATGATCCTTTGTTATCCTTTATGCTGTGTGGGATGCAAAATCACTGACAATGTGCCGCCCTGACCCCATGGCTGGAGTATACTCTGCACAGGTCCTGCGTTCTCGGAATGTGACCAAGTTTGATCCTGGGATTGTGCTATGCTTGGCAATACTGACCTTCAAACGTGGAGATCAGGAGAAGGAGCGATAGCAGAGCATGTGGGACCCTGGCCTTGTACACAGCCTGTCTGGGTTCAATACCCAGAACCCCAGATGGTCCCATGAGCCCTCCAGGAGTGAGTCCTGAGCACAGAGCCAGAAGTAACCCCTGAGAACACCGGATGTGGCCCCCAAACAAAAACAAAAACAAAAAGAGGGGGGAATTAATCAGGTGGGCCAAACCTAGGAAAGTGACCTGAAAAGTAGAGAACTTTCTCCACTTGGTGCCGAAAGAGTAAGACAGAAGGGGACTCTCTGGGAGAGTCTAAGCTTGTAAAGGACATAGCCGTGGTGACCTGAAGATGGATGGAGTCTGAGGGATTGGAAATGTAGGCGACACTTAGAAGTTGAGTGGCCCCGGCTGACACCCAGCAACAAAGTGGGACCTCAGACCTACAGTGACTGGGAGTTGGACTGTCAATCGTCTGAAACATATTGAGTACGGAGATGAGCTCACCGCTGACAACTCAATCTCAGTCTTGTGAGACCCTAAGGAGAGAAGCCACCGGAGAGGCTGAAGGAATAGACAAGACTAAGCTGTTTATCTTGCACGTGGCTGACTTGGGTTCTGTACATTGCACCAAACATGGTGCCCTTGGAGCAGTCAGGAGGAAGCCTTGAGCACCATAGGGGTGGACCAGAAAATAAAGAGAAAGAGGGAAACTGAGTCCATGTGGACTTCTGACTCACTAAACGGCAGGATAATAAACGGGTGTTGATTTTAGTGCTAAGAATAGGGTGACTTGTAATGCAGCAAGAGGAAATGAATATACCTGGTCATTTGTTGGGTTTTCATTCTTTTGATTGTGGCTCATAATCGCCGAGTATACTGGCCGTGTGGCCTTCACTGAATTATGGACAAGCTCTTGGCCTATAAAACCTACCACCCTGAGTTTTTATGAAGATGAAATGAGAGGCTGGTAAAGTGTTTACTGCAGACCTGGGGGTGAAGCAGGGTCTCAACCAAGCGTCCTTCCTACACATGTATTTATGGAGTCCCCCAGGGCTCTGTGAAATACAGAACTTCTGTGGAGCACCACAAGGTCAGGGACACACAGAGCGCCCCACGCACGCACACACTCGGGCTGAGTAGCCTGCACACAGGCAGCGCCCATCAGACGCCTGAGTCATGGGGGAGGAGGAGACGTCCACATGGTCTGTGTGAAGTGGGCTGCCCCCAGGCTTCCTGGAGTCTGTAAACCAACAGCTCTTCATGCCTGTGCCCAGCAAGTGCTGAAACCACCGTGCTTCCTTACTGATCAGAGAGAGAGCGCACTGCGGGTGAGGCTGACCCAGGTCAGATCCCCGGGATGCCATCAGGTTCCCCAAGTACCACCATGCCAGGAGTGATTCCTTAGTGCAAAGCCAGGTCGTTGGGTGTGCCACCCCCCAAAAAACCAAACCAACCCAGAAAGGGGGGTGGGGTGTTTTATTTATTTTTTTAGTGGTGGTGGTGGAGGTCTTGCAATGCATGGGAGGCCCCCCGGGGTGGGGGTGGGATACTGCCCAGCTGTTCGAGGGAGGCCTGGGGGAGGAGGCACTGCCCGGCTGTGCTGGGAGGCCTTGGGGGTGGGGGTGGGGTACTGCCCAGCTGTGCGTCCCTGGCAGCCTGAGACTCTCTTGGAGGTGGTTAGGTGCCTCGGCCTCGTGGGGCTGTGCTTCTTGGGCCATGAGGTGCTGGGGCCACCAGGGTTACCCCAGTGATGCCCAGGATAACCAGAGCTATGCCCAGTAGCTGGGGTGCCAGCGATCCAGCCTGTCTGCCCGCCCAGGCCAGGCCTACACTCCAGCCCTTGGGACTCTCTTCCCCCCACAGGAGAGACCTCCTAGAGGCCAGGAGGAGCCCTAAGGCTGCGGGGGGCAGAGACACACAGTGCTCAGGGCTCGGAGGGCGCTCAGGCAGCCAGAATATGGCCCCAGGGGGGAAGGGTCCCTCACACTGAGCGGAGAGCTGACTGCAATTCTGGGAAACAGGCTTAGGATTCGCTATGTGGCTTTGGGGAGTGGCCAGAGGTTTCAAACCCGCAGCAGAGTTTGCACAGGAGAAAGAAAAAAACTGGGAGGTGTGATCTGGGGTGAGGATGATCTTTGATGTTCAAGAAATAGACAGAAGCCTACTTCTGCACACAGTGAGGCCCTCGGCCATCATCAGTCGGAGATGCTCATGCTCAGATGAACAATCTTGATAGAAGATATGTGCCTACCACTACTGGCTCCTCAACAGGGTCCTCCTGCCTGGTGTGGCCTGTGCCAGGCCCTGGTGCAACCTGTGCTGGGCTGGGCCTGCATATACTGGGGATGACGTGAAGGTAGGAATGGCGAGGGCTGTCCTAGACCTGGGACGGAAAGCTGTGTAGTCTGGATTTTATGTATTTATTTGGGGTGGGGGTGGGGTCATAGAGCTTACTTGAGCCTCTGTGCTCAGGGATCACTCCCACAGCTCCGGGGCTACTGGGATTGAACCTGGGTTAGCCATGTGCAAGGCAAGTGCCATACCCGCTGTGCTATCACTGTAGTCTGGATTTTAGCAGAAACAGAATAGCACCTTCCCACGGTGCAGCGAGGTAAGGGATGGGTCCTTTTAGTTTGATCACATCCTGCTATGTGCAGGGCTTCCTCTCGGCTCTGCATTCAGGGAGGGATTCCTCCTGGCAGGGCTTGGGGACCAGATGGGGTGGTGGGGATCCAACCTGAGTCAGCTGCACGCAAGGTAACCAGGACACTTCCAGATGCCTAAGAGGAAGATGGCAAAGAGACTGAATTCTGAACGAACACCTTGCACTCGGTTTCTCAGGAAAACAACGTTCTAAATGGCAGTCAGGACACAGGCTGCCTCTTTCACTGTATCTGAAAAATCCAGTCTGAGAAATTTGACTACTCTTCTGCCTTCTAGGTGCTGCACTGTTGGGCTTTTGGAGCAGGACCTGCTTGTAAAAGAGTGATTATTTGTGAACCTCTCCCATTCTCACTAGCCATCCCCCCCTACACCTGGGGCCGTCCACGCCTGTACCTGCCTGCTCTCAGAGGGGCTATCCCCAGCTGCGGCTAATGGGAAGCCCTCCCACTCCAGGTGCACTGATGGGACCTAGGAACTCACCGAAGGGGGAGAGCCCCTTCCGCTCTCACACCCACCCCAGCTCTGACACCCGGTATTGCGCTGACCCCTCTATGAAACTGCTCCACCCCACTCACCAAGGGCTTGTAGTCAATACACCCCAGAATATGCCCCATAAAACTAGACCCACTCTTGCCTGTTGCTCTGACATACTATTACATGGCAACAGAAACAGGGAGATGGAGCACAGAAGCAACAGCATCTGTTAGTGCAAAATAACGGATCAGGGGCCAGAGGGATCGCACAGTGGGGAGAGCGTTTGCCTCACATGTGGCCGACCCAGGTTTGATCCCAGGCATCCCATACGGCCCCCTGAACACCACAAGAAGTGATCTCTGAGCAGAGCCAGGACTGAGCCCTGAGCACCGCTGGGTGTGCCCCCCCCCAAAAAAAAACCAAAAAGCTCCAATCAGATCAGTACTCAGGCAGGAATCTAGAGTGCTACTGTGAGAACCTGTGAGACTCCACAATGGGAAACAAAGGAATGTGGCAGCATTGGCAGACAGGGATGGGGGGGGGGGGGTGGTATCCAGGCGAGTCCCCAAGTTCATCAAAATTCTTGAGGTAGAGAACTTCAAATCAACACTTTAAGCAAAACCAGTGGAAGGCAAGGAATCACTGCTGGAGAAATTCAGTCAACTCACTGACTCACATAAGGTCCAGCCCCTGAGCCTGTCTGGGGCTGGAGCGATTGCAAAGTGGGTAGGGTGTTTGCTTAGCACACGGTTGACCCGGGTTCGATTCCCAGCATCCCATATGGGAATGAGGGGGCGAGCACTGCCAGGAGTAATTCCTGAGTGCATGAGCTAGGAGTAAGGATAATTTCTGAGTGCATGAGCTAGGAGTAAACCCTGTGCATTGCTGGTGTGACCCAAAAAGAAAAAAAAAAGGAAAAAAAAGTGCCTGTCAAAGAGGTGGTCTGGACTGGGGGTGTGAGGGAGGGGGCCTGGGAACATAGGTGGAGGGAGGTTGATACTGGAGGTGGGGTCAGTGCTGGAACATTGTATGTCTGAATAATTTTATAAATCAGTGTCTTAATAAAAATATTAATAAACTAAAAAAAGTTTAGAATCCTTCAAGTTCATCAGATTGAAAAGTCAAGACTCCTTGAGAATTCTGTTTTGCAAACAACCAGACTAGATGATATCACCCAGAATACTGACATGGAAATCTTTCTCTGTAAAACTGAATCACAGTTGCTTTCCAAAAATTAGAATAGACTTTTATTTGGGGCAGCAAGAATTTTAAACAATGATTTATACTTTAAAGGATGCAATACATTCTGATACATTAATCTTGATATATACATATTTTCCTTATTGGATTTTTTAAAAATAATGTCAAATGGCTTATAATTAAACAGCTGTTTAGTTTCATAGTAAGAAGGAATAATTCCAGCATTATCCATAAAAACAAAAACAGGTAACAGTTAAATTTGAGTTATGCTTATATACAGTTGTAATAGTTTTGTCAATATGAAAATGTATCTAATTAGTCAAAATATAGGTTAGATGTCTTATAATGTGTAGAAAAATATTATGTCCTTGCTTTTCAAAAATGACCCTACTTACTCTATCACTAAAATAAATGTGAGATACTTTTCTGTTTGGGATGCGGGTCTGTGTTGTGAAAATCTGATCATCCCTGAGGATTAAAGGGCTGTTCTGTGCTGGTGCGGGTAGGTGTGGTCTCACGGAGAGCCTGTTTCACTCAAGTCTCAGCATCAGCCAAATAAATAAGTCAAGTGAAAAGCAAGCTTATGGTTTTTTCAAGGTCTGATACCTGCAATGATATTTCTTGGAAGTGACAGTTAAATAATACTGTAGTAAAATCTTATTTGAACAAGAACAGTTTCTGGCATTCAGTTCTACATGATGAGGGCATTCCAAAATACAGTGGTGCAGATTCATATTACCTTACTTATGAGGGCAAACTGAATTCTGAGAGTAAGATCCCTGTATAGATGAACATGTCTCTATATACGTAGATCAACGTAAGGGTACATGTATATCCCCAGGCAGTCAAAATTACATGTTCCTACGTCCTTGTCTATTTGCTGTCATCTTACTTTTGGATGAAGAGGTTCTCCTTGTGAGTGCAGTTGGGATGCACACTGGATTTTTGATAACATCAGCTGCGCAGTATGAAGCGTTTCTGATTGATACTTCACAGAGCATCTCAGCGGAATTTACAACAATCTTAAAATAACAAAGGGTGTGATGACTCACTTGGCCGATAAACAGGAGGCCCAAGAGGTTAAGTGTGTTGGTCTGATTACACAGTCAGTATATGGGAAAACCAAACCAGGTGGTCCTGTTTGAACGCAAGTGAACACAGGTAAAGATAAAGTAGGTGCGTTGATCTGTGGAAGACTTTGCCCCAGGGCAGTTGTTGATGTGGTGCTTTTTGGAAAGTGGTTCTTCTGCTTTCCCCTCTGAGACCTGTCAAAGTCCCCACTGGATTATACCCTCCAGAAATTCAAACAATGGCCAGAAGCACTTTTTACAACTCCCAGACTGCATGTATAAGAAAAAAATTCGGAACATGTACTAACAATTAGTCCAAAATCACCAAGATACTATAGGTTTAACTTCTTCAAGGACCTTTTCCGTGTTCTCACTCTAGCACTGATCTGAAAAATGGGATTCAGTCTTGGCATACTTTATACTTTACCGGTACGGAGCAACACCTTTCCTTTGCCTTATCCCACTCACCCTGGTTTTCGATTGCTCACAAATGCATTTACGAGTTTGTAAGTCCCTTGAGGAGACGACTGAACCAGAGGTCTTGGAAGCAGAATTCTCTGCACATGATCTGGTCCATACTGTGCAGATGGCAGTCATTCCAGTAAGCTTTCACTGAATCCACGCACACAGCTATTTTACCATACTTTAGTTTGGTTAAACTAGAATCCTACCGGCAGGTTTTGCTTAATGAAATTTACAGTAAAACAACCGTTTTTTTTTTTTCATAGTAAACAGTATTTTTTAAAAGCGTACAAAAAACAGTAATAAATTTAATACCAATTACACACTGTAACTATTCTTTGGTTGTTTTTTTAAGACAAAAATTTGGCTTTCTGACATAAGAGAAATACTACAAATATAAAAATGCACTAGAGAAGTTAGCTTATCTGTAAACATAATAAATCCTGTAAACATATATTTACTAAACAATTGTGCAAGTGTAAAGAATTACCAATAGAAGCAAGTATTACACATTTGATTTTGTTCTTCAAGGCATATTTTAGAAATACTGTTTGGTGGAGCTTTAGTTTAATATTTAAAGAAGGAATTCTTTAACAAAACTGTATCACTGTCACTGTCATCCCGTTGTTCGTCAATTTACTCAAGTGGACGCCAGTAACAAAACTTAGACATGAAAAAGTGATGAGAATACCAATGCACCCTCAGGATCTAGAGGCTAAAGGAAAGCCTTCATTCTCTTCACCTTTTTCAAGGTCAAATTTACTTCATGTGTTTTACAAACCAGTTTTATGAACCAAAACTACATATTAACAGTCAAATACTTTTAAGACAAATAAGTAAACAAGTTTACGCCAAGTGATTCAGTTGGTGAGAAACACAGACTAAACACTGTTAAGGTTTTTAAAAAGATCTGGGAATTAAGTGCAAGGCAGGTCTACAAAATAATAAATAATCTCAATAGTATGAAGTAGTGTGTAGTTCATTCAGAATGAAGGTATTCTTTTCCAGATTTCCATTTTCTTTCTTGCAAAGCATCACAAATTTCCACATATGACACTTCCCCACAAATATTTCACAGTTATAATCTCAGTAGTTTAAGAAGGAACTTCCTGGGACATGCTATGAAAAGGGTAACTGTTAAGGACAAGTCACTCTTTGGGGCACTGAGGACTTACATCCCACAGTGTGAATTTGAAAGAGCAAAAACAACTGTGGAATACCGCACACTGTTTGACAGTGAGTGAAACCATGGTGGAACTGTCACACTCCTTCTAATGTTTTTTATTTTCTTCAAAACCTGGAAAGAATCAATGGCAGTTTTAGTCATTTCCTGGAAAATTTTAAGCCAAGATTTTGCTTATTAAAAAAAAAAAGTGGCAGCGAAACACCATCAGCTGTTATGTGGAACTTAATCGACGCCATCGAAACCCTGAGTGTTCTCAATTGCCATCTGAAGCTTGTCCCACAATTCTTCAAATGATTCATAGGGCGGCAAGTCCAGGCGGTTAAAGCTGAAAGAGGAGAGAGGAATAGGCCACGGAGGGTGAGGCCAGGTGAGAGCCCCGTGGCAGACGGTGATGCGCTGGGAGCATCCACCGACACTCAGGGGCTCTGAGGACACTGCAGGTGGGAGGGAAGGTTTCTGCATAGCAGGGCCTACTCCATATCAGTGTCAACTACTCTCCCATGGCTTTGGCCTTCAAACGTTTGGGTTTCTCTGTCAGTTTAACCTCCACAATCCTAGCTCTTCATCATCCATGCCATGGAGGAACAGAGTCAAGACTGTAAGGGACGTCTCCCTGCTCCACACCTGCACTGCAAGTCCAGGCATCCCTAGAAGGTCACCTCTGCAATGGAGGTGCCTCTTTCCTCCCCTCCCCCACCTGACTCTGAGCAGCATGGCAGGGCGAGAACTCTCTACTGCGACTTACACTCCAAGGAGCTCGGCTTTCTGAGGGCTTGTTCTCTCGGGCTTTTAGTCACACTTACCATGTATGGGCCCGGGGCAGCTTTTCAGGGGCACCCCACTGTTCAACAGTGAATGACTGTGGTCCATTTGATCCTGCAAGAAAGAAGAGCTGCTCTGGCTTTGTTCAACAATCCCCGCACAGTTCACAAGCTACTTTTCCTACTGTTCGAACTTGAACACAAAGGGAGCGACTCATTTCTGTTTCTTTGATGGCGAGCCCAGGCACAGTGGCTACACAGTGAAGCCATGCCAGGCCAATGCTGCTTCTGTTGGTTGATCTGTAACCACTGGTCTCTCCTCTCTCTGGGTGGCTGGCCGGGCTACTTCTGCTGCTTCTTGGCCTTGCACTCAACTACATTCCCAGATACTACCGCCTTCACAGGAACTCAGAGAAAATGAGCATTTTCTGTCTTTTTAGAATCCCACTGAAAATAGTTTTAATTTTTTTTCTGATTGCATAATCTCACTGCAAAAAAAATTTAGAGCAATAGAACAAAATAAAGTGAAGAATGAAAAATTAGCCTCAAAAATCCTACTGTTCAATCTGAATAAATTGTACTCTATGGTTATGCTGGTGTGTCTACATACAAGAGTGTGTGTGTATGTGATCAAGTTATACATGATAATCCAGCTCTCTTAGGAACACTTTTAGGAATGCTTTTTCCCTTTGGAGGTTTCACTAAACTCGCTCTACTCAAATTTTTCAACACTTCCTAACTACCCAAGTAATCAATGCAAACAATCTGACGTGTGTACAACTTTCCAAATTCTTCTCTGGGCCATATCATCACATTCAAATATATGTGAGTATAATTGTCAGAAGCAAGGCTAAAATGTCTAATATCCCCAATACTACACTTTCCTCCAAAACAAAACAAAACAAAACATGACTTTTCATACATCTCACAACTATGTTCAGCTAAAATCTTAGTACTGGTCATTTTTGATTTTCCAAAATGTAGAATCCAAACGTTTTCCAGTTACTTAAACTCTAGATTCACTCCTTTAAACCATTCACTTTGTGAAAACTTCCTCTAAACCAAGGGACGTGAATGTAACGTAATTTTTATTAGCACTGTAGCACTGTCCTACTGTTGTTCATCGATTTGCTCAAGCAGGCACCAGTAACTTCTCCATTCTGAGACTTGTTATTACTGTTTTTGGCATATCCTGACATACGTTATGACAATTCATAACTGACATACGTTAAATTCATATCCTGACATACGTTATGACAATTCATAACTGACAACTCTGGTTCTGTGGGTGGGAGAGTTAGTTCCCCTGAATTTCAAGCAATTCATTAAGTCAGTGCAGCCTCTCTAGGCCTGGCATGCTGGAAAGAGGACAGTGGAGCTGGAAATGGGCTGGGGGTTGGCCTGACTTTTCTCTACTGTCAGAAGATAGGCTAAAAGGAGTCACGTGCAACCACCAAAACGAGAATGGCAGGAATTCTATCAGGCAAGAGAGAGTGTGAATGCTCCCATCTCATTCTTTGCAGTGTGAGTGGCAATGGGAGAGGGAGAAGTAGCTGTGGTCTGACAGGTTCTGAAAACAAACAGAAGTGAAGTTTAGGGGCTGGAGCGATAGCACAGTGGGTAGGGCATTGGCCTTGCATGCAGCCGATTGGGGTTCGATCCCCAGCACTCCATATAGTTCACCCACCAGGAGTGATCCCTGAGTGTAGAGCCAGAAGTCAGCCCTGAGCATCGCTGGGTGTGACCCAAAAAGGAAAAAAAAAAAAAAAAAGAAAGAAATGAAGCTTAACCAGGACACCAGGAGAGAGTGGAGGCCAGTATGCAGAAGAGTAAAACAGCATTGATCTGCATGAAAACTCCAACTTCGTCACTATCAAGATTGCAGTCCTTCTAGTTCCTAGTTCCCAGAACCCTGATTTTTGTTGCTCTTACAAAGGCCCGAGTTCCAGCTAGACTGTCTCTAAACACACATGTATACATACATATATAGCACGGTAGTACTGTCCTCCCGTTGTTCATTGATTTGCTCGAGCAGTCCCAGTAGCGTCTCCATTGTGAGACTTGTTGTTACTGTTTTTGGCATATCAAATATGCCAAGGGGAGCTTGCCAGGCTTTGCAGTGTGGGAGGGATACTCTCGGTAGCTTGCCGGGCTCTCGGAGAGAGGCGGAGGAATTGAACCTGGGTCGGCTGGGTCGGCGGCATGCAAGGCAAACGCCCTACCCACTGTGTTATCGCTCCAGCCCATACATAATATATATATGTATATATATATGTTTATATTCTATATAGGACTGTATGCAATGCTATCTCTCTCTATATAACTATATATATATAAAACTATATATATATTTTCATATCCAGTGCTGCTCAGGGTTTATTCCTGGCTTTGGTCAACCTGTGCTGTATTATTTCTCTGGCCCTGCAATCCTCACATTTTTGGGGGGAAGGTGGATGGCTGGGCCACACCAGCAGTGCTTACTCCTGGCGGTGCTTGGGGGATGGAATGTATGCAGTGCCAGCCATGTAAAAGGTGGACACCGTAACTCTTGGACTATCTCTCTGTTGCTCTCTGAAGGATGTGTCTTCTGTTTGCGTTGAGAAGGGCTCTCCCAGAGGTGCTCAGGGGCTATTCCGGCTCTGTGCTAAGGGGACAGGTCTGGTGGAGCTTGGGGTGCCAGATGTCGTACTGAGATTTGCATCAAGACTGAGATCATAGACTCAGGGTAGGCAAGTGTCTTGGCCTTTGCGCTGGCTCCACTGCCCTGCCAAGATTCTTCATCTGGTATCTTTATTTTTGTGTGTGTAGTGCTGGAGACTGAACCCGGACCTCACACACGCAAGGCAAGTATTTTATTGAGCTACATTGCCAATATATTTAAACACAGGTAAATGTCATTCCAATAGACAAAATATTAACTGATATGTGGGAGATTGCTCATGTTACACCAAACTGGGCTGTTTCTTTCTTTAGACAAAACAAAGTGTTATGAGGAACATCAAGCAGAAAAAAGTTTGACACTTGTCAATCAAATGAAGACTGAATTTTACTTTACGGAAACTATATTAATAGTATTATTCTGAGTCTCAAGCAACATCAGCAATTTTATTTCTAGTCCTATCCTTACTCACGAGGCTAAGGGATAGCCTAATGAGATTCTCCACCTTGCTATAGTCACACATCAACACACACACACACACACACACACACACACACACACACACACCTAATCCAGTAAGTTTTTATGCTTTACTATTATTATTTTTTTGCTTTTTGGGTCACACCCAGTGATGCTGAGGGATTACTCCTGGCTTTGCACTAGGGAATTAGTCCTGGCAGTGCTCGGGGGACCATATGGGATGCTGGGAATCGAACCTGGGTCCGCCACGTGCAAGGAAAATGCCCTACCTGCTGTACTATTGATCCAGTCCTATCCATTAAGTTTTTGAAACTGCTTTGTTTCCCCAGAGTAAGGCACCAAAGCAATCTAGAAAGAGGTCCTAAGTACTGTCAGGAACAATCTCCAGTGCTGCTTGGGTTGGGCTTTTGTCTCAAACCAAACCAAACCAAAAATGGGCTGGAGAGAAGACTCAAAGGGCTGGGTGCTCATGGGCACTGCCCTGCTTCCCAATACTGCCAGGAGCCAGCTCCAGGCATTGGGCTGTGAAGAGTTTCGGAGCACCTCTGGGCGTGGCCCCAAAATCAAAAAGCAAAAACCAAAAACTCTAAGCTTGAAGACAAATTAGTCATGTAAAAGACAGGGGCTGGAGCAATATGCCTTGCAAGCGGCCGACCAGGTTCCCATATGGTCCCCTGAGCACTGCCAGAAGTAATTCCTGAGTGCATGAGCCAGGAGTAGGCCCTGTGCATTGCCAGGTGTGACCCAAAAAGAAAAAAAAAAAGACAATGGGACAGCTACCTTTTTTTTTTCAGTACTTTTATTCTGGGGTCACACCTGGGAGTGCTGAGGGTGTGGTGGTTCCTGGCACTGCATGCAAAGCCAAGTGTCATTCCTTGGTGCTTCCCTCCTGGTGGGGCTCACACTGTCTACCTAATGATCTGTGGCAAATCCTTACCATAGAGTTCAGCAAATCCGTTCATGGGCACACGGGATGTGCCCGTGACAAACTGAAGTAACCGAATCCTCTTCTCAGCATCCATCATAAGAACAGCCTGAAGCAGAAGGAGACAGCATTCAGAAAAGAGATTCTCAGAAGTGGGTGATCAGACTTGGAAGCGTCAATCAGCACTTACTGGAACCGAGATGTTCGCTTGTGCTTCCAGGGGGTTCACAAGGGCAGCAACCAGAAAGTTCTTATTTAAGGGGAGTGTTTCAAAAGTATACCTACTGACGTGACACATCATAAGACACTCCCTTCCCATTTTCCATAATGACCACACCATACTTGATGGGGTTCAGACAGCAGGCAACAAATCATAGAGGGAAATACCTACCAACCTACCTACCTACCTACCTACCTACCTACCTACCTACCTACCTATCTCAGAGAGTCCAGCAAGCTACCAAGAGTAACCTACCCGCATGGCAGAGCCTGGCAAGTTCCCTGTGGCATATTCAATATGCCAAAAACAGTAACAATAATGCGTCTCATTCCCCTGACCCTGAAAGAGCCTCCAATATGGCAGCGTTGGGGAAGACGAGTAAGGAGAGGCTGCTAAAATCTCAGGGCTGGGATGAATAGAGGTGTTACTGATGCCCACTCAAGCAAATCGATGAACAATGGGATGACAGTGATACAGGGATACAGTGATCTACTGATGCTGCTGAGGGGCATTCCACACTCTTCCTCTATGAGGAAAAAAATTCCATGTAGAGGAGTCACATGGGAACCCCAGAATACCCTGCAGGCGGCTCTACGTGTGTGCTCAAGTGGCTAAGGCTCTAGGCCACCATGTCAGCTGTCAATGCTGCTGGCCACGTGATGATTTATTGATAAGTCATATGCACAGAGGAGACCTATCCAGAAGGCAGATGTAGCACTGCACTGTCCTCCCGTCATTCACTGATTTCGCTCCAGCAGGCACCATTAACGTCTCCATTGTGAGACTTGTTACTGTTTTTGGCATATCGAATACGCCACGGGGAGCTTGCCAGGCTCTGCCGTGCGGGCAGTATACTCTCAGTAGCTTGCCGGGCTCTCCCAGAGAGGCAGAAGAATCGAACCCAGGTCCGCTGCATGCAAGGCAAACAACCTACCTGTTGTGCTACTGCTCCAGCCCAAGGCAGATGTCTATAGCATGAAACCCAACACCATCTCTGCTCTCTTTCTCGCCTTACTGCTCTGTGACCAACGCTACAGCTCAATATGACTCAACCTTGGCAACAATGACTCTGGGAAAGAGTCATGCCCCCTTACCTTCCAAAACCACTGGATGACTTGGTGGCTGGCACTGTAGCCATTCTTGTACTGGGTGTGTTCGCGCCAGTCGCTCACGTCCACGTCTCCCAGTCCGCACATGAGGAGCTAAGCAAGACATGCTGGGGGTCAGCAAGAGAAAGTGGGCATGGCCATTCTTTGTCAGACGCTGCTCTGAGATGAAAACTGTATGTCTTACCTCCAGCTCATTCTCGTCGAAGATTTTGATGAGATCCTGTGGTATCAGTTCAAAGAAACCCTGGTGGGAAGGATGTGTTCAAAGACAAATGAGTGGACAGTCCGGTACCCAAGCTTCGGGGTGTGTTTGCAGAGACCCTGGAGCCCACCACACTGGGGGTCTCTGTGGCTGTGGTCACTCTTCCCCTGTGCCTCCTGAGCTCACTCCCTGCCAGTCAGGAAGCAAACGCCTCTGCTGAGAGGGAACCGAGGCAACACAGCCTCACTGGAAGGGTTTCGCTAGACCTGTTTTTGGGTCATTCATCTGCTGCCATTTTCTTTTTTAAAATTTTATTGAATCACCATGAGATAGTTACAAGCTTTCATGTTTGGGTTGCAATCATACAATTTTCAAACACCCATCCCTCCATCAGTGCACATTCCCCACCACAAATTTCCCCAGTATACCAACCTTTACCCACCCTCCCCCTGCCTCCCTGGCAGACAATTTCCTCCATACTCTCTCTCTTTCTGTCTCTCTCTCTCTCTGGGGCATTATGGTTTGCAATACAGATACTGAAAGGTCATCACGTTTGGTCCTTTATCTACTTTCAGCACACATCTCCCTTCCAACCAACATTTTCTTAGTGATCCCTTCTTTAGGGAGTGATCCATTTTCTAGAGATCCCATTTTCTAGTGATCCCTTCACTTAGCTGCCTTTTCCCCCCTGCTCATGAGGCAGGCTTCCAACTATGAAGCAATATTCCTGACCCTTGTGTCCACTGTCCTTGGGTGTCAGTCTCATATAATATTATTTTATACTCCACAAATGAGTGTAGTCCTTCTGTGTCTGTCCTTCTCTTTCTGACTCATTTCACTTAGCATGATACTCTCCATATTTATCCACTTATAAGCAAATTTCATGACTTTATCTCTCCTAACAGCTGCATAGTATTCCATTGTATAGATGTACCAACGTTTCTTTAACCAGTCATCTGATCTTGGGCATATTGTGTTGCCATTTCCAATCTGTTCAAGTCATAGCTGCCTACACGCAAACAACAACAAAGCCCATCTGGGCTGGGGAGAGGCACCCTGAGGGCTGGCACAGTCTTCACCTGCAGGAGCCTGGGCTCCCTTCCCAGCTCCAGGCACCTACCTGGGTCCCATTCCTGGCACACGGCACCTACCAATATCCCGGGAAAGACTAGCACCCCAGCCCAAGGCTAGGACAAAGAAACAGAACTCATTCTTCATTCTTCTTTTTATGACTGAATTCTTTTGATACTCCCACTCCCTGCCTTATTTTTGTTTGGGGGGAGGGGCACATCTAGCAGTGCTCAGCGCTTAATTCTGGCTCACTCCTGACAGTGCTGGGGCAGGGGTGAACAGATGGGCGCCGGGATCAAATCCGGGTCAGCCACTGCAAGGTAAGCGCCCCGCTGCGGGTCTGACTGCCCTAGCCTTCCCCTCAGACTCCAGGGAAAGCGCCGATGGACAAGCCGCTCCTCGACTCTGAATCTGCCTGGATCCCTTCTCCTGTAGGCTCCTTTCTTCTTCATTTTTTTCCTTTCTTTTTTTGGGAAAGACCTTTATTTATTTGATTATTTTTTCTTTTTTGGGGGGCGTCACACCCAGTGATGCACAGGGGTTCCTCCTGGCTGTGCACTCAGGAATCACTCCTGGCAGTGCTCAGGGGACCATATGAGATGCTGGGGATCAAATCATAGTCGACCTCGTGCAAGGCAAACACCCTACCCGCTGTGCTATTGCTCCAGCCCCAACCTTTATTTATTTTTTTTCTACAAAAAATCCTTGAAAAAACACATTCACATTAGAATGTTAAATTTTAATCTCCTGGGGGAGAAAAATAATGTGCTTAAAAAACTCATTAAGAACAATTTCAGTCATTAAGTAAAGGTTCTTATAAGATGTAAATGATCTGATATTTTAACACTTTTCTTAAATATTACTTTTTAATTTTATTTTTAACATTGTGAGATAGAACATTACAAAGCTAATGTAATGTAATGATTGAGTTTCAGTCATACAATGTTCCAATACCTATCCTTTCACCAGTATAATTTCTCAGCACCAAGGTGCCCAGTTTCCCTCTCATCATCCTGAACCACCCTGCACCCCAGCCTGCCTCTATGGCAGGCACCTCTCTCTCTTTCTCTTTCTCTCTTTCATTTTAGGAATTATGGTCTGCAATACAGATGCTGAACGGTTATCATGTATATCCCTGTACCTATTTTGAATACTCAGTTCTTGTCCAGAGTGATTTTTCCAACTAATGTTGTCATAATGGCTGCTTGTAAGGCAAACACCCTACCACTGTGCTATCGCTCCGGCCGACCCGAGTTAGATTTCTCCGCCCCTCTCGGAGAGCCCGGCAAGCTACTGAGAGTATCACGTCCGCACGGCAGAGCCTGGCAAGCTCCCCGTGACGTATTCGATATGCCAAACACAGTAACAACAAGACTCATGATAGAGACGTTACTGGGCCTGCTCGAGCAAATCGATGAACAACGGGAAGACAATGACAGTGGCAGTGACAGTTGTCATAATGAATTCTTCTGTATCTTAACTACTCTCCACCCCTCTCCCCCTCACACACACCCCCTTCTGGTAATTTCTAACCATTGACCAGTCCTCCTGGTCCATTTTCCATGACCTTGGATATTATTTTCATACTATTTTTATATATCCCTCAGAAAACATCCACCCCTTCTAACAAAAAAGGGGGAGAAGAACTGAACAGAAACTTCCTCAAAGAAGAAATTTGAATGGCCAAAAGGCACAGGAGAAAATGTTCTACATTGCTAATCATCAGGGAGATTCAGATCAAAACCACAATGAGATATAACCTCACACCACAGAGACTGGCACACATCCAAATGAATAAGAACAACCAGTGCTGGTACGGATGCAGGGAGAAAGTTTACTTCACTGTAAAATGAAAGTTTACATTCATTGCTCGGGGGTGGGGGAAATGCTGACTGGTCCAACCTTTTTTGAAAACAGTATGGTCACTCCTAAGAAAACTAGAAATTGAGCTCCCATTTGACCCAGCAATATCACTTCTGGAAATATGCCCTGGGTGCCACAAAACACACAGCAGAAATACCATTTTCACTTCTATGTTCATTGAAGCACTATTCACAATAGCTGGCTGGAAGAAACTGTGGTACATCTACACAATGGAATATTACGCAGCTGTTAGGAAAAATTAAGTCATGATATGTGCCTATAAGTGGATGGACATGGAGAGTATCATGTTGACTGAAATGAATCAGAAGGAGAGGGGCAGATGTAGAATGACACTGCATTCATTTGTGGGATATAAAAATAAATAGTATGAAGCCACATGGTCCTTTCACTGAGGACACAGGTTGGGGCTATGTCTATACTGGAGCTCACTCCGTCTCCCACCATACTTCAGCATGCTGTACTCTCAGCTCAGCACTGGACCCCCGATCTCTCACACCTCCCTGGGCTGGTCTCTGCATTTCCTGGGCTCATTGACCTCCTCAGCCCCACCACACACTCCCCCTGAGAGCACAGCCTCCAGCTGCTGCCTCACCCCTGCACTGAGTCACAACGTCAAGATGGATGGGATGAGAGAGAGAGAGAAGAGAGAGAGAGAGAGAGAGAGAGAGAGAGAGAGAGAGAGAGAGAGAGAGAGAGAGAATGCTCTGCCACAGAGGCAGGGTAGGGTGGAGGGGACGGGGTGGGGGTGGAGGGAAGGATGCTGGGATCATTGGTGGTGGAGAATGGGCACTGGTGGAGGGATGGGTACTCGACCATTGTATGACTGAAACGCAAGCATGAAAGTTTGTAAGTCTGTAACTGTACCTCACGGTGATTCACTAATAAAAAATTATATATATATAAAAAAAAAGATGGACGGGATAGACACAGAGCAGAAGACTTCGGATTTATTTGTGCCGGGAAGTTTAAGTACCTTGAGAGTTCCTGTTATGAATGAAACACAGCAAGGAAGAATGAGGGGCCCTACCTCTCCCCCAGGTGAAGCTCCCCAACATCTGATGAGAAAAGAGATCTGGCAGTAGACCAGCCTGTAATGCATGACCCCACAGGGAGAGAAACAAGGGGTGGCTCCGGGTCTGCCCCTTGCCCAGGCTCTGTCAAGCGCGGGTGGGGACAGGGGATATGGCTGAGGCAGGGATGTTGGCATGGGCTGGAGGTGCTCTGGAATGATCCAGTTTTACATAAGTAGTCACCCATTCAGTATCATGTGAGGACAAAGGCAGGATTTAAGTGTTTCTAAATGGCAAGTCAGATGCTCATTTTTGACCCAGTGAGATCCAATGACATCTGAAACAAAAGACTGTTTTATGAAATAAAATATATATATATATAAAACCAATTAAACCCCCACATACCTCTTTATTTTTTTTTTCATTTTTTTATTATAAAATTTTTAAATAGTGAGACATCATGAGGTACAGTTGCAGACTTACACATTTTTGTGCTTGGGTTTCAATTATAAAATGATCAAACACCCATCCCTCCACCAGTGCCCATTTCCCACCACCACGGATCCCAGTATCCCTCCCACCCCCCATCCCCCCTATCCCACCCTGTCAGTGTGGCAGGGCATTCCCCTCTGTTCTCTCTCTCCTTTTGGGTGTTGTGGTTTGCAAAAGAAACATTGAGTGGCAATCATGTTTGGTCAATAGTCTATTTTCAGCATGCTTCTCCCATCCTGGGAGGATCCTCCCAACACCTTTATTTGGTGTTCCCCTCTTTATCTGAGCTTCCTTTTCCTCTAGTATGTGTGGTTGGCCTCCAGGTCATGAAGTAAAATTCCTGGTACTAATCTCGGCCATTCTTGGGTGTTAGTCTCCTATTTTGTTACTTTATGTTCCCCAGATGAATGCAATCTTTCTATGTCTATCCCTTTCTTTCTGAGTCATTTCGCTTAACATAATACTTTCCATGTAGTACCACTTGTACCGTGTGGGCGAGATACTCTCGGTAGCTTGCCGGGCTCTCTGAGAGGGGCGGAGGAATCGAACTCGGGTCGGCCATGTTGGCTGCGTGCAAGGCAAACGCCCTACCGCTGTGTTATCGCTCCAGCCCACACGGCAGAGCCTGGCAAGCCACCCGTGATGTATTCGATATGCCAAACATAGTAACAGTAACAACCACTTGTACCACATACCTCTTTAAAAGCAGCCATTTGCTTCTGGATTCGGTTCACAAATCGCCATTGTATCACAAGACTGAAAGACACAAAACATGTTGATGTTTTCATGTGGAACAAATTTAAGGTATTTATTTTATTTACAATATTACAATAATATTTATTGTAATTACAAACAAAAAACATAAAGAACTAGCCAACCTCAAGGCAAAAAAAAAAAAAAAACAACCAAGTGGGTGATTAAGACATTGTGACAAGAAGAGAATAAAAAGAAAGTACAAAATTATTTCATCAATAATTTTTATTTACTAACTGTGGTAAAATACTGATGAGAAAAACACTTACTAAATATATTCTTTTTTGTTCTTATTGGTGACAACGATTTCCGAGCCACCAGTCTTCAGCTCATGTTGATGTGTCTAAAATGAAGCATATATCTTAATATGTTAATATTTTAATGTTAATATGTTAATGTTATTGCACAAAAATAAATTTTAAGTATATATAGTACCAGGTTGTGACTTCTTTTGTTTTTTGAAGACCATAACCAACAATATTGGGGGCGGGGGCTACTCCCACATCCTAACTTAGGGACTGTTCCTGGCAGTTCTCAGGGGACCAGGTGGTACCAGGGATTGCGTGCCCTCCTGTACGCAAACGGTGACCTCTAGTCATTTGAGTTATCACCCCAACCCGCAGAATCTGATGTTGTCAATGAAATTCATTGGCTAGCTAAGAAAACAGAAAATAATATTTCTTGCTGAGAATTATTCTTGCTGAGTATTTTTTTGCTCCTGGGAAATATATAGAACATAGAGGCAGATGTGAAATATGTACTATTTAACATAGAAACTTAAGTTCAAACATTTGTTTCTTAATTTATGTCTCTTAATTTTAATAAGTAAAAGTGTACAAACCCCAATTCAATCAGCTTAATCAATAGTCGAACTAACAGCAGTACTCCTACATTATTAAAAAAAAAAAGTGTTGTACAAACCTGCCCGAAGAGCTCTTCATCTATGACAAACCTGAGGTCCAATTCTGTGGGATCATTTTCAAGAATCCACCTCAAGGAATTGTAATATTCACTATCCTAGAAGGGGAAAGTTGTATATTTCAGGTTTGTACTATTGGGGGGGGGGTTGCTACTCCACAACAGTGTTCGGTGGCCCTGGGGTCATTCCTGGTGAAACTCGGTCAAACTGTCTGGACAGTAGAGTGCTCAGTCTAGTGATTCAGTGTGGCTCAGGACCCACGAGAGTCACTCAGCAGTGCTCAGGGGTGATGTACTGCTGGAGACCAAACTTGGGTTCCTTTATTCTGGCAGCGGGGGGCAGCAGCTGGTGGTTCTTAGGGCTTACTTCTGGCTCTGTGCTCAGGGAGTGATTCCTGCAGTGCTTGGGGGACCATATATAATGCTAGGGACTGAACCAAGGTTGGCTGTATGCAAGCAAAGTGCCTTAACCCCTGTACTATTTCTCGACCCCAAACTTGTGTTCCTGTACACGCAAGCCATGCACTCTGACTCCTGCACTATGTCCTGGACCCTGAAATTCTCTTTATTTCAAAACAAAACAAAAGAAGCTAATCCTAGAAAGAGAGTCTGCCAAGGGTATGAATAATCGGACAAGAGATGAGAAAAATGTTGGATATTTTTTCCACTCATTCATATACAATAAAAAGAGAGCTATGACTACTGTGAGACAAATATGCATAAAACTGTGGGATGCTCTCTTTGTTTTGGGGTCATGGTTGGTGGCGCTCCGGGCTTACTCCTGGCTCTGTGCTCAGGGATCATGTCTGGTAGCACTGGGGTAGCATATGGGGATCAAACCCATGGTAGCTACAGAGGACAAAGCCTACTGTAATATCTCTTCAGTTCTCAAAGCCTCAATGGGATGCTTTATTTTGATTTTTGGGTCACAGCCAGTGATGCTCAGGGGTTACTCCTGGCTCTGTACTCAGGAATCACTCCTGGCAGTGCTTGGGGGACATATGGGATACTGGCAATCAAACTGGAGTAGGCCGCATGCAAGGCAAACACCCTACCCACTGCGCTATCACTCCAGTCCCAATGGGATGCTTTCTAAGTCACTTAATCACTTAATCCCCGTTATTCATCGATTTATTCGAGCGGGTGCCAGTAACGTCTCCATTCATCCCGGTTGCGTGCTAGCGTAGCCCAATGGTATCTGTTCGTTTTAGGAACATGTAGAGCCTCAAACCGATCATTTAGGGTCTTGACGAAGAAGTCTGACCATCTTATAGGTGGGCGTCCACGTGATCTTTTGATGTCTCGTGGAATCCAATCAGTAATGGCTCTAGTCCAGCTTTCTAAGTATGCTTTAAAAACTGCAGAAATGTTTTTCTTGCACAGAAACAGTGGATTTTATTATTTAGTTCCAGGGTCAGGCAGAAGAGCTTTTAGTGGGCACTAACCTTCATAGACCCCATCTGGGAGCACCTAGGAATTTCCCAAATGGCCTATGAGATTGTGAGCAATATCTATCAGCCTGAGGGAAAATTTTCAAATTAAATACAGACCTTCAAAAGCCAAAATCAAGTAGATGTGCAATCTTATGATTTAGAAAGAACGATCTTTTTACATTAATGATATTATTTTAGGCAAGAGGTAAACAACATGTCAGGTACTGAGGAAGTGGTTCTGGGAATCCTTATAAATCCTACTGGAGGTTGTTCAGCAGTGAGGCCATCTGGACGGCTGCATCAGGGACAGCACCAGCCCTTGGGGGAAGCTCTTGGAGTGGTCAACTATTCAGACCTTGTCTTTGGACCCAGAAATGTGCCATTTGTTACAAAAGATCACAATTCAGGGCAGGGGAGATAATACATACAGCATGAAAATAATACAGCAAGTAAAGCACTTACTTTGCAGATAGTAGACCTAGATTCAAAATCTGGCACCACTAGGAGTGATACCTGAGCACAGAGGCAAGAGGAGCAAACCCTGAGTACCACTGAGCATTGCCCCAAACCTAACCCCCCCAATCACAACTGATGAAAGATACCTTAAAATGTTGTTAGTGTTCTTTTATTAAGGGAAAAGTTATAAATACCTGCAACTTTGAAATGCATAAAAAATAAGATGGATCAATGAAAAGAGCAAAAAACAGGTAGTTCTTACAAGAAATTATTTAAAACTTCCAATCATGCATTCTAAGTATGAATTTTCTTTACATGTACACAGTAAAATTCTTTCAACCTTATAATATGTTCAAGAGTTTTGATAGGAAACTGTTGAGGAAAATATTCATATGTATTTTGAACATTAAAATTAAAAATTTTTCTTTTTATTTTTGGCTTTTTGGGTCACACATGGCGATGCACAGGGGTTACTCTTGGCTCTGCACTCAGGAATTACTCCTGGTGGTAGCTCAGGGGACCATATGGGATGCTGGGAATCGAACCCGGGTCGGCAGTGTGCAAGGCAAACGCCCCACCCACCATGCTATTACTCCAGCCCCAAATTAAAAAATTTCTATATAATCAAAAGACAAGTTCTCAAAATGTTCAGTTCCGTGTGAAATGATACTTCCTTTATATTTTTGGTGAAAAACTTACCACTGATTCCATATCGTGAAGTGTTATTGGTTTGTGCAGCATCATTTTGTAAAATGGGCGGATGAAAAAACCTTGCAAAAATCAAATAGGTTTAAAGTGATTACCAAGTGAAACCAGATTACTGCATCTCTAAAACAGCTTCATGCACAATACTAACCATCCAACAGTTTGCCATGATAAACTGCCATGCCAGCTACCCGGCCAATAAACTTGAAGTAAGAGAGGTGATCTTCATTACACAATCCAGAATTTGGATTTATCTGTAGGGTATAATTATCCCTGTAAAGACAATCGCATTTAGAAATGTAAAGAAACAAAGCAAGGGCATAGCAAATATCCAAATGTCCAATGAAAACAAACCCTTGGATTTTGGCCACAGAGCTAGGGTAACCACCTGGGGAGTGGGTGGAAAGACGTGTGGAGGGTGAGGGAGTGCCCTCTGGTGGTTGATGAGGTGTGGCAATGATGTGCCCTTGAAACAGGAACATTTACACTCTTGGAAGCCAATTTAGCACCGTGAAAGATTAAAAGACAACCACATTTAAATGGCCTCTCTCTATATTTCATATAACATTTTAAGAGAAAAGAACATGAATTACAGATTTTCTTCATTTTGAGATGTTTACCTTCATCAAGACCACAGTAGCCTGCTGGCTTGTTCTGTTTTGTTTGTTTTTGGCTATGCCCAGCAGTGCTCAGGGCTTACTACTGGCTCTGCACTCAGAGACCACTTCAGGTGGGGCTCGGAGGACTGTAGGAGGTGCTGGGGACCAAGCCTGGGTTGGCCGTGTGCAAGGCAAGTGCCCTACTCACTGCACTATCACCCTAGCCCCCCGGACTCTTAACTTTAATACTCTGAAAAACAGTCACTTCTTCAAAGGTACCAAGGACTATGAACAGCTGACCAGGTAAACAAACGTGGGATGTAAGCGCCAGGGTGTATCCTCCAGCTTTTCCGAGGGAGAGGGACAGAGAGATAGTCCACAAGGCAAGATGCTTGTCTTGCATGCACCTTATAAAGACCGGGGGCACGGCATAGTGCCCCCTGAGTTCAAGCTGGTGTGATCTCTGAGCACTGAGCACTGAGCTAGGAGTGATCCCTGCACACCACCCCACTGGAAGGCAACTGTGCCACATGCTATGCAGAGAGTGCACTGCTGATTTTATGTCGAGTGAGACAGACCGGCCACAGAGGGACACAGCCTTTATGGTCCCGCGTATGTGAGGTTCTGGGATGGTGTTATTATGCACAGAGACCAAACAGGGAATGGGAGTTATGATGGAACAGGGGAGTCTGTCCTTAACGGGCTTGGTCTCAGTGGGTGATGAAAGTGCTGTTTGGGATGAGAAGTGCAGGGATGGATACTGGCGATGGCTGTAGCATAATATGAATAAAGTTAAGCCCACAGACGATGCCCTTAAAATGGAAAAACAGCACATTTTATGTGATATATTTTATCACAGGGCTGGAGCGATAGCACAGCGGGTAGGGCGTTTGCCTTGCAAGCGGCCAACATGGCTGACCTGGGTTCGATTCCTCCACCTCTCTCGGAGAGCCCAGCAAGCTACCGATAGTACCTCGCCTGCACGGCAAAGCCTGGCAAGCTCCCCGTGACGTATTCGATATGCCAAACACAGTAACAATTGTCACAATGGAGACGTTACTGGGTCCGCTCGAGCAAATCGATGAACAATGGGAGGACAGTGAGAGTGATTTTATCACAGTTTAAAGAATCATTTTTTCTGAAGAACATTAAATTAGAACATCTATGATCCACTGTAAATATAACAGAAATATAATTTATTCAAGATAACATTCATAGATACAGTATAGATTTATAACATGTCTACAGAATACATACCACTTAATAGCACTGTCTGTCTTCCCATTGATTTACTCAAGCAGGCACCAGTAACGTCTCCATTGTGAGACTTGTTACTGTTTTTTGACATATCAAATAAGCCATGGGGAGCTTGCCAGGCTCTGCCGTGCGGGCGGGATACTCTGGGTAGCTTGCCAGGCTCTCCGAGATGGAAGGAGGAATCAAATTCAACCCGGGTCGGCCATGTGCAAGGCAAACACCCTATCTGCTGTGCTATTGCTCCAGCCCTTACTATTTAATACAATATAAAAACGCAAATAATGTTCTAACGTAGTCACTTCACTACTGCACTATCATATCTCTTTCCTCTGAATCTGACAACTGTTGTTCCATTATTTGTGGAAATACTTATTTATTTTTCATTATTTTTCACCTCCTGTTACTTCTAACTGTGATTTTTCCCTTCTGCGTAGCCATCGGAGGGTACTCACGTGGCGGAGTATTCGAATAGCCCATAGTAGGGGTTGAACATCTCCTTGGAGAGCAGGAAGAACCACTCTCGGGCCACGCCACCGTAGTCCAGGCCCTTCTCCCCATCAAACTCGATCCACAGGCGCGCCTTGAGCAGGTCGGCTCTCTTCACGCCCAGGATCCGCCGGTAGGAGTCCTCAAGGACCGTGGCCCGGCGAAGCTTCATTTCAAATTTGTTTGGAATGTCATTCTGGAAATGCAGGGACCAGAGCACAGCGGTTAACTCCACGTCACACACCAGCAGGCTTGTCTTTCATGAACGACGTGAAATTCAACTTGCTCTGTCTACCTTGTGTCCCAGACGCTTTTCCCAGGAAAACACAACTCGGTGTGTTGCCTGTACTTGGCCCCTGGCATGAAAGAATGTGTCACCTGGCCTCTAATTGCTTATCAATCCAGATTTCTACTTTGTGTGTCTGAAAGTGGGCTAGAGCAATAGCACAGTGGGTAGGGCGTTTGCCTTGCACACGGCCGACCCGGGTTTGATTCCTCCATCCCTCTTAGGGAGCCCGACAAGCTACTGAGAGCATCTTGCCCGCACAGAAGAGCCTGGCAAGCTCCCCATGGCATATTTGATATGCCTAAAACAGTAACAACAAGTCTCACAATGGAGATGTTGCTGGTGCCCCCTCGAGCAAATCAATGAACAACGGGAGGACAGTACTACAGTGCTACAGTGTCTGAAAGAGAAGCTGTTGGTGGAGATGAGGAATGTGAGGGTGCTCGTTGACCAGCAGCCTGTGGCTTTAAGGCTTCGCTCTGTTGTGTGGGTTCCCCCTCCAGGGCCCAGACTGCTTTCCTGAGCAGGAGGGTCTGTCTGGCTCCCAGCACTGCAATGGGGCAACTTGTTTCCTCCTTCCAACAGCTGTCACTGTCACTCTCCTCCCGTTGTTCATCAATTTGCTCGAGCGGGCTCAGTAACGTCTCCATTTTGAGACTTCTTGTTACTGTGTTTGGCATATCGGATACACCACGAATAGCTTCCCAGGCTTTGCCGTGCGTGCGAGATACTCTCGGTAGCTTGCCAGGCTCTCCGAGAGGGGTGGAGGAATCGAACCCGGCTCGGCCAGGCTGGCCGTGCGCAAGGCAAACGCCCTACCGCTGTGCTATCACTCCAGCCTGCTTCCAACAGCACGTTGGGGAAACAACTATTACCAGCTCCATCTGATGGATGAAGAAGGGGAAATCTCTGCTCTGAATGAGTGACTCCGCCTTGCTAATCTTTTGCAAATCTTTTGCTTGGGGTGAGAATGTGGATAACTATGCTTTTAGGGAGTGTTGCTTATAGATTTTATAAAGCTGACTCCATAATTTATTTATTTTTGATTTTTGGGCCACACCTAGAGATGCTCAGGGGTTACTCCTGGTTCGCACTCAGGAATCTCCTGGCAGTGCTCACCATATGGAAGGCTGGAAATTGAACCCAGGATGTTTCCATGCAAGGTAAGTGCCCTACCTGCTGTACTATTGCTCTGGCCCCCATAATTTATTTTTGAGTGCTTCCATATTTTCAACTGAAAACCATAAGCAGGAAACATGCCCCATCAACGTTCTGTTACAGTTTATGAAAAAAATTTCCATTTCATTCACAAAATAATTAGGGAAAATAAGAATTCCCTAGAATAACATGATGAACATATAAGCAATATAAACAGAAGCAGTTTTTTTGATTGCCTATGCAATTAAACAAAAAGAAAATAAACGACTAGGTTGGAAAAAAAAATCCATTTCACACAAGACACCAGCAAGGTGGGAGCATAACTCTCCACACATTTCCTGAAGGCCTGATCTGAACCAGGCCAACGACTGGACGTGGTGTGGGAGGCCCTGGATGAGAGAAAAAGGGATGAAGGGGCTGGAGTCAGAGTACAGCGGTAGGGGCATTTGCTTTGTCTGTGGCCAATTCGGGTTCGATCCCCTGCATTCCAGATTGTCCCCTGAGCACCGCCAAGAGTCATTCCTGAGGGAGTAGGGTCAAGAATAACTCCTGAAGGTTTGTTCCACGGCTTGGAAGCTGATCTCACACGCTGCGGGGAAAAGGCAGCTCAGATAGAGAAGGGAGCACCAAATAAAGGGTGTTGGGAGGATCTGCCCACGGTGGGAGAAGCATGCTGAAAGTAGACTACAGACCGAACATGATGGCCACTTAATACCTCTATTGCAAACCACAACACCCAAAAGGAGAGAGAGAGCAAAAGGGAATGCCCTGCCACAGAGGCGGGGTGGGGTGGGGTGAGGTAATGGGGTGGGGGGTGGGTGGAAGGGCTACTGGGATCATTGGTGGTGGAGAATGGGCACTGGTGGAGGGATGGGTACTCGATCATTGTATGACTGAAACACAAGCACGAAAGCTTGTAATTCGGTAACTATACCACGCGGTGATGCACTAATAAAAAATAAAAAAGAAAGAATAACCCTTGAGCAATGCCAGGTGCAACCCAAAAAGCCAAAAAAAAAAAAAAACCCCAAAAAAACAAAAAAACAAAAAAGGGAGTGAAAATGCTGTTTCACATGTGGTAGTCTCTCAAGGAGCTTATCACCTGGGGGTATATACATGCTATCAATTCTGAGACTTTACAAGGAAAACTGTGCATAACTGTGATGCTGTAGAAGGCCTGCAAGGATGGAGCCCTATGATCAGGGGCAATGATCAGGGAGGCGGAGGGGAGAAGGCAGCTGGAATACAGAAGGCACCACTAACAGAATGATGGCTGGAGGAACCGGTCGGGATGGGAGATGTGTGCTGAAAGTAGATCATGGACCAAACGTGATGGCCTCTCAGTGTCTGTATTGCAAACCATAACACCCAAAAGTAGAGAAAGAGTATGGGGAATATTGTCTGCCATGGAGGCAGGGGGAGGGTGGGGAAGGGGAGTATACTGGGGAGATTGGTGGTGGGGAATGTGCACTGGTGGAAGGACAGACGTTTGATCGTTGTGTGATTGTAACCAAAACATGAGAGCTTGTAACTATCTCATGGTGATTCAATTTAAAAAAGAAAAAAAAAAGAGAGAGAGAAAGTCCTGGGGGAAGTGTGAGGGGCTGGGCCCAGCGGGCTGGGAAGAACCCAAGGGACGAGCCCTGCGAAACAGGAAGCAGAGGAGGGATGGTGGCTGCGGGAAGCCTGAATGCTGGCCGCGAGGACAGTGGCAGCATCTGGGGGGTTGGACACTGGCCCCGAGCACTGGAAGGGCCATCTGCTGGGGACAGATTAGGAGCAGGTGGGCCAGCCTGGAGACCCGGGAAGCAGATGGTGTGAGAGGGGGCAAGAGACAGCAACAGCAACAGCAGGACAGTGGCCGAGGAGACTCTCCCGAGTTTGGGCTGAGCCTTGGGTCCAGAGCGAGGTTCTGATCAGCTGGTTCTGCCTGGGCTCCACTCCCTGAGTGGGCATTTTAAGGCTCAGGTGCCTCCGCTGTACCTGGAGACAAGGTTACTCTGGATCTCGTGACATCGTGAGGGCCTGTGGCATGCTCTGTGCTTACACGGACCCCAGCACACGGGACTCCACGGTGCCCAGTCAGCCTCGCTCCTAGGACACAAGGTGTTGAGGACCAGGTAGAAACTGAGGTTTAAACTGCGGCAGTGCAAAAGGCACATGGAACAGATGACTGGTTAAAGAAACTCTGGTACATTCACACAATGGAGTACTATGTAGCTGTTAGAAAAGATGAAGTCATGAAATTTACATACAAGTGGTACTACATGGAAAGTATCATGTTAAGCGAAATGAGTCAGAAAGAACGGGATAGACACAGAAAGATTGCATTCATCTGGGGAACATAAAGTAACAAACTCGGAGACTAACACCCAGGAGTGGCCGAGATTAGTACCAGGAATTTTGCTCCATGACTTGGAGGCCAGTCACATGTGCTAGAGGAAAAGGAAGCTCAGATAGAGAAGGGAGCACCAAATAAAGGGTGTTGGGAGGATCCTCCCAAGATGGGAGAATCATGCTGAAAATAGACTACAGACCAAAGATGATTGCCACTCAATGCCTCTCTTGCCACTCAATGCCTCTCTTGCAAGCCACAGGACCCAAAAGGAGAGAGAGAGAGAACAAAAGGGAATGCCCTGCCACAGAGGCAGGGTGGGATGGGGAGGATAGGGGGTGGGAGGGATGCTGGGACCCGTGGTGGTGGAGGATGGGCGCTGGTGGAGGGATGGGTACTTGATCATTGTATAACTGAAACCCAAGCACAAAAATTTGTAAGTCTATAACTGTACCTCATGGTGTTTCACTAATAAAAAAATAGTAAGTAGAGAAGAAAAACAAACATAACTGCTCCATAATTTGTATAAATATTATCAAGTCAATGAGATGTTAATAAAATACATATCAGAGCCAAAAAAAAAAAGGCACATGGAAAGATGCTCCTCATCACTAAACATCAGGGAGAGGCAGATCCAAACAACAATGAGATATCATCTCACACCACAGAGACTGGCACACACCCCAAAACACAAAAGCAACCGGTGCTGGTGCGGATGTGGGGAGAAAGGGGCCTTCCTTCACTGCTGGTGGGAATGCCGAGTGGTTCAGCCCTTTTGGAAAGCAATACGGACATTTCTCAAAAAACTAGAAACTGAGCTCCCATTTGACCCAGAAATACCAGTTCTGGGAATATACCCTGGGGGCCCAAAAACACACAACAGAAATACCATCTGCACCCTTATGTTCATTGCAGCACTATTCACCATAGCTAGAATGTGGAAATAACCTGAGCACCCAAGAACAGATGACTGGGTAAAGAGACTATGGCACATCTACACAATGGAATACTATGCAGCTGTTTGGGAAAATGAAGTCATGAAATTTGCCTATAAGTGGATGGACATGGAGAGAATCATGTTGAATGAAATGAGTCAGAAGGAGAGGGACAGACACAGAATGACAGCATTCATTTGTGGGATATAAAAAAATATACAGTAGAAGACTAATATCCATGGCCAGAGAAAACAGGGGTTGGGAGGACTGGTTAATGGTTGGAACTAACCCCAAGGTGTGTGTGGCTGAGGGTAGGTAGGATAGAGAAGAGACCGGTATGACAATAATAGCGGAGAAAGATCATGCTAGATAAGAACTGAGTATTAAAAGTAGGTAAAGGGGGGCTGGAATGATAGCACAGCGGGTAGGGCTTTTGCCTTGCACGCAGCCGACCGGGGTTCAATTCCCAGCATCCCATATGG